AAGCACATTCTATGCGAAAACAACCATTTGTTCAACATCAACCTTGACTTTTTTTTTATATGCCAAATGAAAATTCTAGGAACTGGAGGCATAGTGGTAAATGATAAAACTGAGGAATTTTCTTCATTTAGTAGTCAATATTCTAACAGGCAAACACAATAAATAAAAATAAAAACCAAGAAATATTAAAAATAAGAATGTTAAAAATAATATCCCTAAAATGTACCAATAAACTCAATTAAAACCGAAAAAAAAAAAGTGATGAACCAACACCTCTAAGCTGAAACAGGAAAATAAGCTCATTAAAAAATAGAACGTCATATTAAAAAAAAAGAAAACATTAGTAGGAGAGTTACTACCTGCTGGATGATCAAGGAAGCTCTCTAGAGAGATAAATGACACTTGACTGGCAAGAACGTGATTACAATTAGAAGAAATAGAGAAAAAATATTTCAAAAGATGAAAATAGCTAGGCCAAGGGTCCAAAGACTGAGGCAAACTTGGTGTATTCAAGAATGCAAAATATGTACGTAATGTATATAAGTTAGAAACTCCTCTGAGAACTGTATGTAGAGTTCAAGATACCCTTGCACTGAATTTACCTCTAAATTGTACATATTCAAAGCATACTTCCTGACACATCACATCAGTGCCAGCTACCATTTTTAGTTGCCTTGTATGTGAATGGAAATTAACCATTACTGTAAAAGATCTTTAGAAAACTAAACTCTCTCTGTTAAAAAAAAGAAAAACTACAACTTATTAGAGAAAAGGTAAGCATATACAAAGAGTTAATGCAAAAAAATAAAAAGAAATGTCTCCAGATAGTATATCTCCAGGTAGGATACATTTATTTTGGAGTAAAATTATCTAAATATACTTTTATTTCTGTGTTACCCATAAAGCCAAGTTTCTGAGGGAAAAATTTATATATTTTCATTAAATATGCAAGATACAGTTGGCATATCTGTCTTAAAAATGTTCTACGCATTATACAAAACATTCATTCTTCACCCTTAAAAAGATAGGAAATTACTTTCTAGATCAGTTAAATCTAAAGTACAAGCAGTCCAAGTGGCCTTGAGAATTGGTAATAGTGAAGGACAAATCATTTTGTAAAATGATTCTATGGGCAGAAAAAAAAACAGCAATGTAAATTTTGAACTCCAAATTATTTGTCTCAAGGGCAATCAATCCAAATTTCATGCATTGATTTGCAATTACACTGTCCTCATAAAGGCAACAGACTATAATGTTTTCCAGTATGACTGATAATAGGAACTTATTTTTTAATGATATTAATGATTCTCCCAAACTATGCAGAGGAAGAAAACTATTATATAATAAAAGTTATGAATTGCAACAAGGAAAAACAATCTTTCATCTCTGCCTAGGTTTCCCCAGAAGCAGATCGTGAGGCCAGGGTTCACAGGCAATTAGTAATCTATGAGGAAATAATGGTGGAGGAGTGGGGAAGGACAGAAATGATAGGGAAATAGGACAGTAGGCAGCCAACAGAGAGCTAGTTATCATTCACATGTCCATGCTGAGCGGGAAGACTGCAAGACCCAGCCCAGTCAGGGTAAACTGGTGACCTAGTGAGATCCTGCTTCAAAATTTCCTTTAAAAATTTAAAAAGGGCTCGGATACAGCTCCTTGTGAAGGTCTGAGCTTAATCTCACATATCACGATAAATAAATAAATATCCACGATAGATAAAGAACCTCATTACACTGGAGAACTCTGAAAGCTGATGTAGAATATGTCCCTCTGAATGAGAAGAGGAGGAAGGCTGAGGTATTTATATACCAATTCATATTCTGTCACTCATTAATCTGTCACTCATTAGCTGCTTTAAAGAAGTATTGAGCTTCCAGGCATAACGGCGCATACCTGTAATCTCCTCCCTAAGGAGGCTGAGGTAGGAGGATTCCTGTGAGTTTGAGGCCAGCCTGGGCTACACAATGAGTTCAGGACCAGCCTAAACTACATAGCAAGACCCAGTCTCAAAAGAAAAGAAAAGAAAAAAGGAAATATTGAGCATCTAGTTAGACAGAAGTGCTGAGCAAGAGGGCAACACGTGATAAGAAAAAATCCCCCCCAAAAAATACTGATAGTAGAAGGTGGAAAAATAGGTAAGTGCAACGAAATTCTGATGGGAAACTAATAATCCTGAGGACAAAAATGGTCTCTAGATGAGCCAAAAGAAAGACATGGGATAGCAGAAAGCATTGACATTAGGAAAAATGGCATGAGCATAAGTAGTGAGGTAGGAAAGCATAAGAGGTTGTAGTTTATTAGCTGTCTGCCCAAAGCCTCGTGTGCTTATCTGTGGGGCTTTTGGGAGGCGACTGGATCTGATGCTGGGAGGTGAACCCCGGCTGGAGAAGGTGGTCACTGGGGCCATGGCCCAGAAATGTCTATCTCTTCCCCTCCCTCCACAATCCCTCTCTGCTTCCCGCTGCCCTGCCAAGAGCAATCCTCCTCTGCCAATTGCTCTGCCTGAGAGCTGCCAGTATGGAAGAAACTTCTATGAACTATGAGCCAAAATAATCCTTCCCGCCTTTAACTTGTGGATATCAGGTACTGTATCTCAGCAATGGGAAATAAACTAGGACAATGTATAGGCCATTTTAGCTAAATCAGAGAGGCTGTTTATATAACAAATTCCTGAAAAAATATGGCTAAAAACATATGTCATCCACTTAAGAAGAATATCTAAGTAATGCTGAAGAATTTTAACTTCTAAGTTAAAAACTCTAAGTTCCTTTCTTCCTTTTTTTTTTGTTTTGGTGCTGGGGATTGAACTCAGGTCCTTGAGCTTGCAAAAAAAAAAAAATAAGTTTCTAAATGGTAAATTAATGAAAAGAATACAGCATTTCACTCCATCAATGCATTTCACTCCATCAATATATATGTTGGCACCATTGTTGCCCTTGGAATGTAAACTTGTACTGGAAATAAACTTTATCTGTTCAAGTTCCCTAAGGGAGCACTATATGCAGACAAGTATCCAGCAACCCATTAGCAATGAGTACCCCTAGACTATGGTATCTAATCACCATTTCTCACTAAAAGGAACCAAAGCTCCTTGAGGAATATCTAACTCCACATCTGGAGCAGAATGCATGAGATGAGTCTAAAATATTCTGTCACAGCATAAACCAAGTAATTTATCAAACACTATAGGGGTTTGGTCAAAAAAACTTGAAGGCCCACTTGAGGAGGTTTCCATTGGTCAAATCAGCTAATCATCAAAATAATATGTATCATAAAGATATTTTTAAAACAATGTCTTCAAAAACCTAAAATATATAAAAATTTAACATTCATAAGCTCATAAATAAATTTTAAAACTTGAAAAATATTAGAAAACTAATTATGTAGCAAGCCAGGAAATAAAAGACAAAAACCACATATTTATTCTACTCCTTACAAACTACAAATGCCTCAGAAAAAAAAATTTTATTATAAAAGAATTCTGATTAGTAACTCCATAGTGAATGATCAAATTAGAACATCACCATTTTGGAACTCCTAATGAAATAGTCATCAACAGCTGCTAAAACCATTAGCCAAAAAGTTGATAGGAAAATTTATGCTTATGATTATGATTAACTTCATCAGACTAACAACATTTGAAAGCAATGGTCAACAATAACATGGCAAAGAGACAATCATACACTGTACATTGAGTAATATAATGCAATAATAAGTAAACCTTAAATAATCCCTGTAAATTTAACTACTGGCTTATAAGAAATATATGAAGAAATATATTCCCATAGGAATGCAACCAAAGAAAATCAAATATGTTACAAATTGTACAGAGAAAATGTTTATTAATCTTCAAATTGCTGGAAAAAATGACAGTAAAAACATTGAAATGTAACATAGAGACCTTGTTTAGTCTCGATTTGAGTAAATCAACTAGAAACAAATTTTAAATGGTAATTGAATTTTATATTGGATATACATCGTGATATTATTACAGAACTTTGTTAAAATGTTATACTAGCAATGTTGTAGTTTCATTCTTTTTTAAAGTGCTTATCTGTTATATACTTATTCTTAATTTTTAAAAGTTAATCCTTAAATATTTATTAATCATATGTCTGTATTTATTTGAAAAATCCTAAGGGCTGGGAGATGTATCAACCCATGTACTAATACTTGCTAATATTAATAACGCCTGAGGCTTCATTATACTAATTTATCTACTCAAATATATGTTTGAATACAAAGATTGGGTATTTGAGTGAGGTAACTTAAATAGCATTTCTGATCTCCCCTCTGATACCTGAAAGCTTTAACACAACTACTCACAAAAAGAAGTATAGTACATGTTTGAAAAAAAAATATTTACGAAAGTACAATGCTAACCAGTATACACAATATTATTGTGAGAGGATTCCAAGGTGTAATATCTGAATAGGAAGCAATAATCAATCTTAAAAGATTCCTATATCTATTGTTGATTAGAAAAGGAAAGCACTTTGGTGTGAAAATTAGAAAACTGCCAACACCTAGCTTTGTAATCTCACACAAAATTTTTGTAGGTTTGGAACACAAAAGCACGGGAAATGAAAAAGTAAGAGCAACAATAATAATTGTATTGCGGGCGTCAGCCTTGTCCTTGGCACTCTCCTAAGCGCTTGGTATTATTTTATTTAAACGTCTAATGCAACGTGTTATGGGAAGCTTGAATTTAAGAGCATCCTGCCTCAGCCTCCCAAAGTACAACAAGTGTGCACCAACATGCATGGCTGATACAAACTTATTAAAAGACTACCGACTGAGGTGGACATTGATACAAGGCACCATTTTGCCCTTGAGGTGAAACAAGGTTTTGCAGGGGCCATTAATTTATTTAAGGTCACGTACAGAAGTGACATGGTCCACTTGGAAAACTCAATCACGTGGGACGGTATTGACTGAGGGAAAGTTGAGGAACTGGATGAGAATTACTGGAAAAGTGAAAAAAGTTCCCACAGACCTACCGTCTTCTCACGAGCCGCACTTGCCTCTACACAGCTTTGTCTGGGGCACCAGAACCAGCCCGCCTACATCACGGCTCCGCACCTCCACCACCGAGGGCGCCGCCTGTGACCTTTAAACTACATCTCCCGAGAAGCCTTGCGAGGATGCGGGCCTACACCGGAAGTCGGGAAGGCTGCCGCGGTAGTCGGGAAAAGTGCCTGCTGACTTTCCCAGCTGTGTCCTGTGTGCGGTTATTCTGCTCTCTTTGGGTTAGTAGCAGCAGCGGGGAGTTAGTAGTCCCCACGATACCTTCTGGGGGTCGGTGACCAGTGTCCCGGGCTCGGCCGCTAGGTCGTGTGGCGCACCGTTGCGCGGGGTTGGCTGGTGCCGCGGCCGGTGCGGTGCGTCTCCTGGGACGGGTGGCTCCTAAGTCCTCTGGTGGAGTTTCCACCGCAAGTTAGATGGGGCATTTTAAAAAGAAGAAGAAAGAAAGGGGGAGAAAGCGCTACTTCGGATGTAATTTCATTTTTTTAAAAGGAATCTCACAGAGTGGCAAGAAAGTAAACCCTAAGGTATTTGACCCTTTGAAGACACCGTATCGGTTTTGCTGTATAGGTTAAATTGCCGCCCGTGTCCGGAGTAGAATTCATTAAATAATGTTAGTGACTTAAGTGACAGACCATATATATGAGGTCTTGCTTGGTCGCACGCCAACCATGTGACCTCAGGCAAATTTTGGGCCCGAGGTTATTTTCATATCAGTAAAAATGGATGTTGATTTGGTTAAAATGTAAATTCTTTTAAATCTAAGATTGCTTTAATGAACTCTCAGAATAGTTAATCCTCTTCTTGGGAAGCAGTCAGGTATGGCATTTTACCTTGCCTTCAAGTCCTTTCAGTTGGACCCGTCAATAAATAGGTAACCATCAGGAGATCTAAATGTCATGTGTTCTGTGCTCATCTAGAACGTGTAATAACGCATTATTTCTAGATGAATTTTCTTGGGGGAAAGCGAAGGGGAAACATACAGGTTTTTTTTCCTTTGCTTCTTTCAAAAACTTCAGAGAATACAGAGAATGCTGTAGACGTCAGCATTGCATTAGAGGTAGTAAATGGCACCGTATCTTTGAAGGAAAATTTTGCAATCACCTAGAGCGGTATGTGGCAAGTATGACCATGACCTGAGAACACAGGACAATGAAATGCTGTTAAAAGGAAACTTGAGTGAAGAAACTGTTTATGAAAAGTTTATGAAAAATAAAGAGAAAAGTGATGTGGATAAGAGACCATAGAGGGGTCTGTTTAGGAGTGCTTCAAAGTCATAAGAATTTATCGCTTTTGTTATTCATTAATTTTTAAAGCGTTTAATTACTTCGTTATGAAAGGAATGTATACAAATCTAGAGTAAATAGGAAGTTGTTTTCCAATGTAGAGAACACCTCTAATTTGTAAACAGATTTTAAGAATTATTTCCATTCTGTGTGTAAGTTTTAATCTACTTGTAAACGACAGAAATAAACAGGAAATATGAACAGATACAAAATGACAAAGTTAATCATTAGCCCATTTTTGCCTAAATTTTGTTCAGACTACAGGACAAAATTGATCGGCCAAATTGGCGTTTCAAAGCATAAGAGGCCACAAATGTCAAAATTATGGGTTATAACTTTTCATTTTAGCCTAAGTACCTGATTGCTTAGAAATGGTAGAATAGTTAGAATCTGAAATCTTTTTCTAAAAGCATTTCATAGAAAAAAAAAACTCTTAAATACTTTGAGAAGTTCATAGATAATTGAAACATGAACCATTTACCCACAGCTCAATGTGTGCCCTATGACATATAATCCATGATTAGATAACATTTATTAAGTATGGGACAATGGCTTTTTTTTTCTTTTTCTACAGCACCAGATGGACAAAGCAGATAGTTAATGATTTAAAATGCTCTCTGATTCAAGAACATTTACCAGCAGAACTCGACTCCAATAATAGATCAAAAATACCTGGTCATCTAATTTGTGACAAGGATAATACTGCAGTGCCATGAGACAAAATAATTTCAAGAGTAGTGTTGAGTCATAGGAACTATTCATTGAAATAAAACATTTCTTGACCTAGCCTACCTCACACCATGAACAAAAATGAGTACCTTATGGATTTTAGAATTAACTGTGCAAGGTTAAGCAATAAATTATTTATATATGAAACTTAGAAAGCTGTTGAGTAATTTAAGTATAGAATAATTTCTTTGAGGGCAGGGACCTATATCTGGTACCATAGAATCAGAGAACACTACAAAAACCCTCTGCCTTTATTTTAATCTCCCCTACACTTGACCTTTCATGTCCCTGCTCCATAGCCTCGTCCCCTCTGGTCCACCGCGACTTTGTAATGTTGCTGCCCCTCCCTCATCTGAAGCCTCTTTGTGAAAGTTCTTGATACATTATTTTACACATTATTTTGCATACCTCCTGTGGGCATATAAATTGAATTATAATTCTCAACAGATAACAATTTTGAAATGGATATTTTGGTGACGATCGTCTATAATTACGTTTTAAAGAGTGTATGTTTTGAAGCTATTATTCTAGCATTCGTGCTTAAAGACCATGTATCCACTGCAAAAAGCAGTTGCAAATGAGAGTATTTCCCCCTATTTTCCTTTTTTTAAGGAAGAAATGTCTTCAGGTAAAGGAAATCCAAAACGGGAAATAATTTCTGAATTTCACAGTGCAGCTGCTGAAGGAGATATTGCCAGGTTAACAGGAATACTCAGTCATTCTCCATCTCTTCTCGATGAAACTTCTGAAAATGGCTGGACCGCTTTAATGTACGCCGCAAGAAATGGGCATCCAGATGTTGTCCAGTTTCTGCTTGAGAAAGGGTAAACATTTTAGGCTCTACCACTTGAAAGGGTTTGTGATTTAATTTCTGTTACATATATCCTTTCAGATTTTACTTCTGTATATTATATTTTTGGGCCAGTAAGTAACTCATTAATCAGTTTATTATATAAAAAGCTTAATTTCTAACTAAAAGCTAACTTTTTTTAAACCGGTTCTGCATGCCAGGCAAGCACTGTCCCCCTGAGTTACATCTACAGCTGTGGTTTCCTTTTTATTACTATTCTTGATGAATTAACCTGTCATACTTAATAATAATAAAGTGACTTTATGAGTAATCTAATATTTTTCTTCCAAGTAAAAGATACAAACCTTATTATGATTACCAAAGACTCTTTGTAAAATGTTCATCTCATTATGGTGCATAAAACTACTAGTTTTTATGAATAATTATCTACAAATTATACATATCCACTATCTCTAACCTTTCTTCACTGTGACTGAGTCTTTTACTCTTTCCACTAGGAAGCTGTGTACCAAAATAAAAAAGTAATGTGTATAATGATTAAATGGAGGGACTATAATGCATACCTAGAAATATATTGAAATAAATATAGGAGAAGATGTTTATTTTCAATTTTTCCTCCCCAATTGTTGTCTTCCATCTGTAGGTGTGATAGATCACTTGTCAATAAATCAAGGCAAACTGCACTGGATATTGCCGTATTTTGGGGTTATAAGCATACAGCTAACTTACTAGCTAATGCTAAAGGTGGAAAGAAGCCTTGGTTCCTAACCAATGAAGTAGAAGAATGTGAAAATTATTTTAGCAGAACACTACTGGATCGAAAAAGCGAAAAAAGAAATAATTCTGACTGGCTACTAGCTAAAGAAAGCCATCCATCTACAGTTTATGTCCTTTTCTCAGATTTAAATCCCTTGGTCACTCTAGGTGGCAATAAAGAAAGTTTCCAACAACCGGAAGTCAGGCTTTGTCAGCTAAACTACATAGATGTAAAAGATTACTTGGCTCAGCCTGAGAAGATCACCTTGATTTTCCTTGGAGTAGAACTTGAAATGAACAAAAGGTTACATAATCATGCTGAAGAAGTCCCAAGAGAGGAGGAAGATGGGTTGGTTGCATGGTTTGCTCTAGGTATAGATCCTATTGCTGCTGAAGAATTTAAGCAAAGACATGAAAATTGTTATTTTCTTCATCCTCCAATGCCAGCTCTTCTGCAGTTGAAAGAAAAAGAAGCTGGTAAGATATGAACTCTGCTTACTTTTTTCAGTGATAATCTGGCTTTTGAACTGAGTTGAATTCCTATATGTTTATTATTTCCAGGAGGCACATTGTTTCCAATATCAGTAAAATTAGGTCATCTTCATTAGAAACTTCCTAAAATGTTCAATCTATAGCACTACTCTCTTAGTCACAGTGTTTTAACCACCCCAGTTAGCTTCCTAAAGTTGACCTTAATATATGATGATTTTGTTTAATTCTTCATCCACTGCTCTACACTGAACATAATCTCACAGCCCTCAATTGTTTTGTCATCTGTTGCTGAGCCTTTTTAACCCCATAGTAAGAACTAGAATCTAAATCTAAATGCCATGTGAATATTGTAAACTGGCCTATGTTTTTATGTCTGCGCATTTTAAAAAGAAAACCCACCTAGGTGCTTTTACAGTATGAATTATAGGAGGAATAAAATATGGAAGTCATTTTTGAGGGAATTGTGTACTATAATATCCCAGGTAAGAAATTTCATTATCTTGGACTAGAGTAATGGCACGGAAGATGGAGAGCTTGAGATATTCTGGATGTAGAACTGATAGACATTGATCTATAGTTGAGACCTTTAGAAGTGAGAGGTAGATGGTGGCAACCTTTTCTCAGGCACACATTAAAGTGCTAATAATAGACATGGCAAAAAGGTGGTACATTGAAGTATAATTGGAGATAAAAGTAATAATAACTGCTGATGCAAGAAGCCAGAGTGACTGCTAAGAGCATTTAATAATTTAATATTGTTACCATTTCTTATTTTTTCTAATTGAGTTTATTGATACATTTTAGGTATACAGTACAGTTGCATTCATCATTGGGATCTTGTACCTTTACATGACAGGTCTTAGTTCACATTTTTCCCCTTGTCCCTGCCCTCCCTTCACCCCCTCCTCCCTTCCCTATTTACAAAAACTTTATTTCCATTTTTTCATTTTCTCATTTTTTTCTTTTCCCTTATTTCCTTTCCCCTACCCTTCGCACTTCCCCTGCGCCTTTATACCATTAGGATGTTATTTACGATTGTAGTTTTTCATCCCAGAGAAACTATTCGGTATTTACACGTGTGACTTTTTTATTTCACTTAAGAGTATATCCTCAATATGCATCCATTGGATAGAGCAAGGACAGCTGGACAGACTTTGAGTAAATCAAGAGTTTTCTTTCGGATAAGTTACATTTTTGAGAGGGATCTTAGAATCTAGAACTCAGGGAAGGGAGAGATCTAGAGAGACTCAGGGCATTCATCAACTAAGTGTTATATAAATCCTAAGAAACTACCAAGATTATGTAGAGAATTCAAAGCAACAAGAAAAAGACCTAAATCCATCGAAATCTACTGGTCAGGAATAAGCAGAAGGGCCAGAGAAGGTGACTTGCCATAATGTAGAAGACAGCAGTACATTTTAAGAGGAGATTGGTCAGGTGTATTGAACGCTATTAGCAGTTCGAGTATGTTTTTAAAGAACCTTTAGTTCTTAGATATTGTGAAGCTGCTGGTGTATTTGACATGAAGAACATCAGTAGCATTGAAAGAATAAAAATAATGACTAAATGGGAGACGAGAAAGATCACAGCTATTCAGGAAACAGTATATGTTTATTATTACTTGAGAACATTATACCTACATATTAATTTTTTACAATTTATTGCAGCCTGAAACCTCTTTCTTTTTTTTTTTTAAAGGAGTTGTAGCTCAAGCAAGATCTGTTCTTGCCTGGCACAGTCGGTACAAGTTCTGCCCAACCTGTGGAAGTGCAACTAAAATTGAAGAAGGTGGCTATAAAAGAGTGTGCTTGAAAGAAGACTGTCCTAGTCTCCATGGTGTCCATAATACATCATACCCCAGAGTTGGTAAGCCTTTTCTTTTGTAGCTACCTGGAATCCTGGGGAACAAGACAAGTTTTTAAAAGTGCTAAAACTTTTTATTAAGAGCTTGTTTATTAAGAGCTTGTTTAACCATTAAAACTGTAAGTATTATAGCATTATGTATTCTCATGATTATTTAATCAAAGATATTGTTCATAATTAGCCATTTCTTGACTTTAAGTAATTCGATATGAATTTGGTATGTTGAGGTACAGGATTTTATAAATAGTCAGCCAGTCTGACTATTCCTTTGGAGAGAGGAAAAAAAAAAAAAAGCCCCCAGCAATCAGTTCCTGCTTGAAGCATTACCAAAGCGGTAGAGCTGAGAGCTATATTCTCATTACTGTTAGTGTCTGCCTGTACCTTATTTCCTTCTAATTGCTTTTGTGTGTCTGCTGTAGGTTTGGAAACCTGATAACCTAGCCCTTTAAAACTGTAAAACATGAACAAATAGACCTAGCAGCACCTGAGGAAGTCTCCAAGGAGTAAAATACTTAACTTAGTGACATCTGTTTTTGTTGTTTAAGAGCCTTTTACATTTAATTCCTAGTTCTTAATCATTATCTAGTGAGGAGAATTTGCTACATTAATGACTAAGAGAAATGAACTCTTCTTTTAAATTTTTCAGTGACTTTAACTCACCTAGACATGAGCTTTTTAAAACATTTTTCTAAAGACTGGAATGGGAAAGAGAGAGAAATCTACTGTATTTACTATAAAAGTTTAATTTTTTCCATGTCCATGTGTTACAGAGTCAGCCTTTTTCTCATTAAAAGATATTATGCATACTATACCCTGAGTACAGAATAAATGTTGCTAAGATTGAGGGAAAGAAGGCAAAAATGGCCTTCCCTTAGCTTACTGATAGTATTCTATGCAATTTCTTTTAAATATTCCATCATCAGCCATATCAGAGCAGAAATAAGATCTTATAAACAAACAAGAATCTTGTTCCTTGGCAAATATACCTTTAATATCATCCTACCAGACAGTGACTTTGCACAGTGAGTCTAAATTATTTTATCTTGTCGTTCAGATATCTGATTTCCTTTCACAGATCCAGTAGTAATCATGCAAGTTATTCATCCAGATGGGACCAAATGTCTTTTAGGCAGGCAGAAAAGATTTCCCCCAGGCATGTTTACGTGTCTTGCTGGATTTGTTGAGCCTGGTAAGCCTTGTCTGAATACATTCTACAATTTCATTTAAATTATGATTTCCAAATAAAAATTTCAGATAGCCCTGAAGTTATAACTTCTAATAAATTATCATGTTATAAAACTGAGTCGTTTTTTAAAATGCTTTAAATGTATTTTTTAGACATAATTTAAACATGGTAGAGTTTTCATATTTTACTACTGTCATTTATTAAAAAAATTCAGTGCTTGTTCTTTCATATTTTGTTTTTTGCCAACATCCATAGATGGTTTACACTTTTCTTCTGTACTTGTCTTAATTGTCACTTTCCAAAAGTGTCTGGATGATCCCCCTCGTACATAGTTGGCCCCATACCCTGCATTCGCATTCCTTCCTGCTGCCTAACTTTTCCCTGTGGCACGCAGGGTCACAAGTGTGATACATATTCGCTTATGTCTACCCTTTCTAGATGCCAGTCTCATAAAAGCAGGAACTTTGGTTTATTCATTTCTGTCTCCTGCCTCCTGAAAGCAGGTGCCTCACATGTGTTAGGGACTCAGTGAATATCTGTGGAATAAACAAATGCATATATTGAATTAATTAATGTTTAATTTCAACTTCCAATCTTAATCTGCATCCCTAGGTGATAGTACTAAACCTGTGTGGTACAAAGCTCATTTCTAGAGGCTTTATGTATTTAATTCACATCCCCATACAGCCTCATATAATAGGCACTCTCACAACAGTTTTAAATATGAGGCACTAAGAAGAGAGACTGATAACTTGTCCAAGATCATTCAAGCCCAGGCAGTTTGGCTTCTAAGTCCCTTGTTCCTAATTACTTTGTTGCCTCTCATGGTTTTAGGTCAGTTTTTAACCGCCAGGCACTGTTAAATATATGAATATTCTGTTATATATTCCTCCTTCATGCTGTGGGCATTTAGCTTGTTTTGAGGCTCTGCCTGTTACAAACAGTGAATATTTTAGACTTCTACTTACGCACATTCACAAGAGTTGTCTGGAGTATATTCAGAGTGGAAGAGCTAGCTCATATGATGTGAGCATCTTCACCTTTTCTTCCTGTTGCCAAACAGCACAAGCTAGTGTTCTTGCCAATTTACACTCCCACCAGCAGTACATGAAATGTTCCATTATTCCATGTCTTCACTGAGTTGGGATTTTCACATTTTTAAATTTGTTATTCTGATGGGTATGAAATATGTCATTGTTTTCATTTTCATATTTCTTCTTGATGGAGCATCTTTTTCAGATACACAGTATGTATCCAGTTTCCCTTTTCTTTAAATTCTAAGTGTTTATATCCTTTGTCAGTTTTTGTTTTGATTGCTTATCCTCTTTCCTTTTTAATTTTAAATTTCAAATATATGTACGTTGGACCCTTGACTTACAAACTCTTTTCATGAGAGCTGGTTGTAACTCAAGTTGGTTGTAAGTCAAGACTATTTTCCCCCATAAAAGCTACAGTATATGTCAATCTCTTATTTTTAGTATGACACTAGCTTGTGATCTATTTTGCTATACAGTAAGTCCCCACCTTGAGAAGGGAGAACATTCATAAGTCACATTTGTTCCTAAATCCGACAGAGTGAGTCTCATACACCTTTGACACAGATATACATTGTGTATTGCTTTGTGCTTCCTAGCAGTCCCTTCCATATCACTCCCCCTTTCTCCCCTCTTCTGGATAGCTCTGATCACTGTACTGCTGTGCTTTGTCACACTGTACAGTAAGCACACAGCAGCACAACTGCAACAGTGTCCGGCAGATTTGTGAGCTATTTTTGAGATTTATTCACGTCCCACCAGTGTTCTTACCATGACGTCCATTTATATCTGTAAAAGTTTGCAAGTCAAATATTCATAAGTTGGGGACTCACTATATATTCTATTTTGATGGATATAAGTTCTTAATTTTTGTGTAGGAAATGTATCAATATTTGAAGTTAGAAACTACATTAAAAATGTATTTTGCTAAGTAATGCTGTATATTGCTATATATTTATAAAAGTTCCAGATAAATTGAATTAAAAACTTTTTCCTCTATTCAGATTTTTAATTCTGTGAAAATCAGGAATAAAGGACATTTATGGGCATCACATTATTTTCTCATGGCTGGATCCGCAGTCATTTAGAGGAAAACAATTGCTTAAGCAAAAATACTGAATTTCATTTTATATGGTTTTTAAAATTCTTTTAGTGTCCTGAAAAGTTATCTGCAGTAATTGACAGCATAACAAAAGAGTCTTAGCTTTTAATGGAGAAAGACCTAGTCATTCATAAAAGTCACTTAATGATAACTATTTAGTGATAATGTATAAGTGAGACAATATATAAGTTATTTGTAATGGTTAGCCAGTAGTACATTTTGGATAGTTGTAGATTTTGTAATTACTATTTGTAAAATGTACCTCATAAATTTGGTACTTTAATAAATGAAAAGTCTCTTGTTGACATTTTGATATTTTATATATGGTCATATGCTTTTAAAAATAATGTTTTCTTCCCTTTGTCTTGTATTCCTATTCTTTGAATTCGATTTCTCTCCCAAATGACTTTCAAATGTTTGCACCATTTGGAGTGCAAAATTTCCAGTTTATGTTCATCAGCAACTTGTTCTTTTGCCCCATTTGATTAGGGGAGACAATAGAAGATGCTGTTCGGAGAGAAGTAGAAGAAGAAAGTGGAATCAAAGTTGGCCATGTTCAGTATGTCTCTTGTCAACCATGGCCAATGCCCTCCTCCTTAATGATTGGTTGTTTAGCTGTGGCAGTGTCTACAGAAATTAAAGTTGACAAGAATGAAATAGAGGATGCCCGCTGGTTCACTAGAGAACAGGTAAAGTTCAATTTAATTTCCTTCTTCTATTGATTGTTCCCTGACAGTATTGGTTTGGGCACGCAGCAAGGAAGCATATTTTCCACAAGTTGAATGAAGGACTACAGCCCTCTCATTATGTATGGATTACAGTATAACTGCTAATTCCATGTAGAAAGAGGGTATGTTCACTGATGTGTCCTATTTTAACTCATTCTAGTAATGATTGATACTGTGTCATTTCAAATTTCAGATGCCATTCCTTTTAATTAATGGTAACAGTTTTCAGTGGACTTAAAGTGCATAAACATTTGTTCAGACACAAGAAACAGGAATATTATTCTTAAACTTGTTTTATATTTTAGTTTATAGCATTAGAATAGGTATCTCTCGAAAGAAATTAGTGAAAATACTTAAATTTTTTGAAGTTTTTATTTAGAAATGTGCCAAAGGCCAAGAGTGACATAACCATATAACAAACATACACACCCACAAGAACTTAGAAACAGCATCCCTAAATGATATAATGGAAGATAAATTACTTTTCTCTGTTTCCCATGACCCAAAACCATTTATATGGAAAACAAATGGATACACTACAGTAGTCAGTACAGGAAATCATTTCTGACTACTCGCAAAAAATTAATTTTATTTTATACTCTTTCCCAAAAGGTAGAAATTAGATTATTATTTCAGAATTTTTAGAAAAGGGAATCTTATCCCCAGAGTTGGCTTTTCTTAGAGATTAAGTGTGGAGCATACATTTTGCTTTTCCATGACCTCATTTTCATAAGAATGTATCTTTCTGAAGCATCTGAAAAATTAAAACCCTAATTCAGTGAAACAATTAAAAATGCATACTAAATTTTGCATGTTGAATATGGATATTGTCACTTTCTACTGTTGTTGTTCACTGCGGAAGCCACTGCATTTCAGTTGAATCATGTAAGCATGGAACTCGTATTTAAACACAACCATTTTGAAAGCCTAATGCATTTTATTGTGTATTTTAGGTTGTGGATGTTCTAACCAAAGGGCAGCAGCAAGCCTTCTTTGTGCCCCCAAGCCGAGCAATTGCACATCAATTAATCAAACACTGGATTAGAATGAACCCCAGTCTCTAAATCAAAGCAGTAGGCTTTGAGTATAATTCTGTTCCTAATACTGCTTTTCAATTGAGATTTCAAATATTTAGTGCTTTTTAGAGTGTCATAACACAAAATATGCTGGCTGTCAGAATATTTTCAGAGTGTTCTCTCCATTAGCCACAGAATTCACATTTTTATAAATTTCAGTTTTGCCTCAGATTTCCTTAAATTTGGATGAGAGTTTAAAGTTTTTTGATTATGCATCACAGTTTTATCTTACAAACCATATTTCTAATAAGAGACTTCATGTTGTAAAGAAATGTGTTCTAGAAATGTGAATAAGCCTAAATTTCATTCCTCTTATAAGTTTTAGTCTGCTCACTGAAGTTCCTTGTGTGAGAAATGAAACAGAATTTTAATGAATTTGAGCCTATATTGATTTTTACTTATTTAATTACCATAAAAGTCCTTTAAGTTATCAAGATCTGATTTTGCTCAGCTCTCTGTTGCAGTTTAATTTGACTTTAACACATTCTAAAAAGCTTTAGTAAACTGAGTGCATTTTAGAGTTAAATCAGTGAGATTCTAGAGAAAGTAAATTGTTGTAGTTTACAATTTTGTAGTATAGAAACATATTTTACAATGCTGTTTTGAAATTGTTTTAAAAGATAATTTATAAATGTACAAATTTATTCAATTTAGCTCTTTAATCTTATATGTTACAATTGAAAGAGACTTTGAGATAATATATGAACTTCATTGCTTTTATTTTATAGTTAATTAAAAGAAAATCCTGGAAGGTATAATTCACTAATTGATGAAAATTGCACCAATAATTAATTATAACAGCCTGTGCTGTGTAAACCAGGGCAAGAGTCACCCTCTAGCAGTAATAAAAAGCTTTTACCAAAAATGTATGTTGAACAGATTAAGAAAAAGGAATGAAAAGAATAAATTTAGCTTGCCAAATATTGCTAAACCTTTAGGTATAATACTTTAGTATTTATCTTAAAAAGATAACTTTGTTGGATGAAACTTGTACTAATGAACCATTTTTAGTAGTTAATGGATTCTTATTGATAGCAGAACTTTAAACCAAATGAAGACTTACAGAGGTCCTTTATAGGCGTGATATAGTAGTGACTGCATGGAAAGTAAGGTACTTTGGTTATTATGAAATGTAATGACTTATGGTTCAGTTTTACTCCAAATGTACTTTTAATACTAGCAGATTCTAATATTACACAGTAAAATTCCATGTTCACCTAGTGTTATGGTTGGAAAGTAAAATATAAAGTGTCAACAAATATAGTTGTAAATTTAGTTTCAGATATTTAATTTGTCCTTGTGGAAAAATCAGTATCTAAATAAATTACTGGTTTAATAATTACTACTAAGTTGCTAACCTCTGAGAGGTGAATAGGTACATGTAAATAGAAGGAATAGCCAATTCAAAAATGATAAAGGTGGGTCATGAATGTATTCTAATGGAAATGAATGTGACATTAAAATATTTATTTTCTGTTTTGTGTGCTTTACATTTTTTAATGTTTTGATAGATTTCTTTTGACAAGTGGAAAAATCCCCGTTTTAGTCATTATCCCTTGTTTAAAAATATGAGTGTTCAATCCCTGGTACCAAAAAATAATTATATATATATATATATATACACACACACACACACATGCACACACACATACATATAAGATTGTTAAATAATAAAGCCATCTTTAAAGTTTCCATTTTATGGAATAAAGTTTTGATTTGAGAGCTAAGCCTTGCACAAAGTCTTGGGTTTGATTTCTAGAATTAGAGGAAAAATTATACTAGAATATTAAATTTTGCTCTTTGGGGTCAAATAACACGCATGTACACACATGGTCTAGCAAACCCATGTAAATTTTTAATGTCCAGGCTTAAAGCTAGTATTAAGTATATACCTAGTATTATATTTTTTTATTACTTGTCTAATATTCCTAGCCTTGACATTTTTGAAATTTTTACTTGGTTACTCTTCATGAAGAATTAAAAGCACGTGTATTTTACTTGAAAAAATGAGTGTATCTGTCAAAGATTCAGGTGGGGATTTGAATGAAAACAGTAAAAACTAGCAGAAGGGAGACCAGGAGATGGAATAAGGAAGTATAAACTTGTTGACCCAAATAAACTAGGTAAAACCTCATATAAAACAGTAACAGTGGACAACTGGTCCTACAACTGTGCTGCTAATGTGAACTCAGCAAAATATCAGGTGAAAGTGTTCTGTGAAGCTTCCATGAAGCTTTCCAGAGTGCAAATTTCATTAGAATTTATAACCAGTTAATAGGTTCTTAATATATGTGAGAGAGGTGGTGGGTATCCAGTGAAATTTATGTGATTGTGATTGTTAAAGGGCAATTTTCTCTAGTAAAAAAACAAAAAACAAAAAAGTGTAGGGCAAAGTAAATTCATTGTGCAGAATTGGGGATTTCTGTCTTCAAAAACAAAATCTAGGTCTTGAGGCAAACCAAGAGTTGGGAAAGGAGGACTAAGGAGCTCGATGTTCTGTGTAGGTGAAAGTGTGATCCTCAAGGGCCCAAACGCCTGGGAACTTTGATGCCATGGGGAGAGGCTGTATTCTGAGGAGGCAGCTTCAATAATGTCGCCAACACCTACATCTTCAAAAAGTCACTGATTAAGAGCTAAGGAGAGGAAAATAAATCCTGAAAATGATTTTTCATTTTCTTCACTGTACCTTATTTTCCTCCTAACCAGGATACTCGGGATGGAATTCAGAACAGCTTCTGAAAGATCATATTGTACACAACAAGATTTCTATCATATACTGTTCAATAGATTATTATATACAATAGATTTTCAAATAAGCTTATTTTATCAAAGTAGAAATGGTTAAAAAAATTTGAGTAATAAAAATGATACTAGAAAAATAGGAAATCAGTAGCCTGACTTAGTTGGGAAAAAAATTTTTTTTCGACTGATTGACTAATTGGACTAATAGGCATATTCCTCCTATTTTTATTGAAAGATGTCCACATACACTCCTTGGAAGAAACACCACATTTTTCTTTATTCCTTCTAGATATGCTTCTGTTCTTTATTGCAAAGCAGACAAAGCCCTAACACTAGAAAATGGATATTTCTTTTGCAATGCCCATGATAATATGCTCTCCAGAATAGTGAGAGTGACAGTGAAATTTTAAGCTAGAAAAATAAAAGTCTCTCCACCATTGCAAACATTTTTCTTTGTAACTGGACATCTGATAAGTGACAAACTGCAACTAAAAAAATGAAAAACAAAATGTTCTAGGTTTCCATTCCTGGGCTCATGGGAACTATACTAGACCAAATCCTTGCCTCATTTCAATAGATTCAGAATGTTCTTCTACCTACTTAACTTGTGAGGTGACTTTATTTTTTAATAATGAGGAAGTTAACACCCAGGAGTAAAAGTTGGAAATGGTACTCAACCTGTATTAGAACAGACTGAATGGACAAGTGATGTGGTCTGGGCTAATTCTTGTTTACTTTTTAATGTGCCCATTTTACTTTAGCAAAATTGTAGTCCATTGGGACCGTGATTTGACCACGGCAGTAGTGAGCCTCATTAACATTTATTGCTGCTCTCAGGTGGCAGCGAGACGAAGTCATCTCTATCAGCGAGAGTAAAATGATTGTAAATGCCATTTATCTAACAGCTTCAGTGCAGAGTTATTTTACATACTGTTTTGCTAGGCTTACTTGTGTTTAAGAAATAAATTTGAATGGTACCAAACTGTTTAGAAAATTTGGTACTCCATAGAAAAGATGCCCCTACGATGTGTGCAAATTGAGACCTTGGGGGCTTTCTTGATCGTGACCAGTCCAGTGAGAGCATCAGTGGGAGTGCATAAATGAGAGTCGGTAGGAATTCCATGAGTTGTAGGATGACAGAAACAAGCATGTCTACGTGGACCTCAAAGTTTTCATGGCTGTGAGGGTGTTTTCAAAATACATCCTTAATTTTGTACAGATTACCAGTTCTGCCATACCAATCTTTTCTTTAGTTCCCAGTTACTTAATGTATCTCATGAATAGTAAGTACATTTTATTACATTTTTATGATAAATTTATTTCATAAATAGCAGTGAAAACTGTCACATTGCATAGACTAAAGCACTTTCAGTCTTAATTTTCAATCTCTTAAACTTTGGTCATTTTTTAAGTTGGGTCTTCTACTGTTGTTACTATACCTATTTATAGAGTTCCTCCTAATATTTACATGGTTCCCAAATTTCTGTCTCCAGTAATCAGTTAAACACACCTAAATATTCCTGTATCTCCCAAATAATAGGCATCTTAACTTGCCTTTTTTTCCCTGTGTCAGTAGTCTTGCCAAACAAATAAGTTTGGGGAGTGTTATGATTAATTTATCTACTTCATTTCTCATTCAATTGCACCCCACAGCCAATTGCTAAATCCTGTCCCTTTATTTCCAAATACTTCTTGAATTTCGGTTTATTCCTCTCCCGGTTCATGCTCTCATGACTTCTGTATTCTTTCTCCCTCTCCTCTCCACTTCCCCTTCTCCCTTCTCTCTTCTTTCCATTCGCTGCCACCACCCTACTTCAGACCATTCACCTGTTTTCTACTCCTTAAATGTGTTTCCTTGTGTCCTGCAGCCAAGTATATCTCATTAATAAATAATTTCAGCGTATCTTTATCTTACTTAAAACCAAAAGACCCTCTCTTTGGATAAAGGAAAAGTCCGATTTCATTAGTATACTATTTTACCTCTCTATTTTCAACTCTTAACATTTCCCTTTTTTTCCAAATTCTTAAGTATACACCATAATTTATGTTCTTACAAAGAACAGTAGAACCTAAATTCTTATTATGTGTTAGTAAGATTCACTAAACACAATCTGGATAATTATGACAAATATATGCTACTAGCATAAATAGAAATAATATTTATTCAAAGATTCTAAAGTATATTTTTATTGGTATGTTTGCATTGAACGATGGTTGCAGTCATCATGAGGAGTTGGTACAGAACACATTGTAATTATTTTTTCATCCATTTTCCCTCCCCCCGCCTCCCTCCACCTCGTACTTCCTTTCCCTTTGCAAAAGATCTACCTCCCTACACTTCTAAGCTATATTTTCCTTTACATACTACATGAGATTTCAGAAATCTTAAATCAGGGCCTGTGGTAATCATCCCAGTTTTACAAATGAATGCGGGGAATCTAATGAAAGTCAAGTGACTTTCCCAAGGTCAACATAAGACGTGGAAAAATCTTCTGAATCAGAACCTGTAAACCTGACCATACCCTATGCTTCCCCGCCCTATCTACCACACACACAAAAATGAACTACCTAATAAGTAACCTGATCCATGTAAATAGCCAAGCTACAGCATTTGTTTTCGTTTTTATCTGGGGTTTTTTCCATTTTATCTCTACCATTTGAACATCATGCCTCCCCTTCCTGTATACCCCTAACAAAGCTCCTAAGTCCCAGAAGCACACAGAGCATCATTGTGCATGAAAAGTATATTTAAAAATAAGCTATTAAGAATGATTAAGATGGATAATAATAGACTGATTAAAGGATAATAGACCATTCCTGACACTGCAGAAGATTAAATATGCTAATCAGATTTTGAATTTAGAAAATTCGCTATTCCAAAGTAGAACGATACAAGATAGTCAAATCTTTACTTCATTCTCTTGCCTCTCAAAATATATATATTACTTTATTCATGTTTCCTTCAGAGCTGAGTGATTTATGAAGGATTTACCCAGGTGAGCCGTGTGTGTGTGTGTGTGTATGTGTGTGTACATATATAGATATATGTATTTACTTTTTGAGTGACGTATTCTCTATTTTAATCTTTGATGTCCTAATTTAGTTGCTTGGCAAAGGATAATAGGAAAGGGAAATTGTTTGAATGTTATATATTTGAAGACAGTTTAGCAACGTATTTCCTTCCAATCAGAAAATATACAGCAGCTGTTTGTAACTTGCCCTGTTAACAAATAGAGGATGGAGACATCCAAAAAAATTCTAAATAACCCATGTGTTTAGGCCTCTTTTATTTATGCTAAGAAAGACATCATATGCACATTTGAATAGCCATTATCCATATCCTAATTTGGTTATTTCAAATAAATTGTGCATTTGGAAAGCAAGGAAAATGCAATTGACAAGCTAGGCTTCTAAGCATAATTGAAATTCATTCTGAATGCAGGAAGGGTCAGTTTCATTTCTAAGCAGAAGACCTTGTTTTGAATTCCTATGTTCTGCTTTGTTTCCTTCACAGCATTAAAATCACTAATTACCACAATGATTTTTTTTTACTCAAGTTAGTAAAGTTTTTCATTAATTTTATACTTATTTTTACTTAAATAAATACTTATTCTTAATTCTTAATTATATTCATTACCTAAAACATTGTAAGCTGGGCTCAAAAAAGAAGACATTCAAGGTTTTAATATTTCCCTATAACAGTTGTAATTACTCTGTGCTCTGGGTCAATTTTTCAGGAAAATTATTCTGACCAATATCTTTTGTGTAAATAATCCCCAGTCAGACTTTGCAAAATAACCTATTTACAGTTTT